CCTACCGAAGGCGCCGCGGCATCTCGAAAATCATCACTACTAATCGGTCGTACGCGAAGGGCTGGGACAGAAGAACCTGAGGACACGGGCCGGAAGACATCCCTACTTCTACGAACTCGTCGAGCCGGAACTGAAGAGCCAGAGGAACCAGGTCGCAAAACATCTCTCCTACTCCGAAGCCGGGGAGGTGCAAATGCTGAAGAGCAAGATGAGCCTCGCTTCCGTGCCCCATCGAGAGCAGTCACAGAGGTTGGGGGCTTAAGGGGGTCACACCGTGACTACTCCGGTCAAGCTCCTGCCACAGACTCTAGCTCCTTAGGCTCTTCTGCACTGCCTCGTCGGCGACTCGTTCCGTCCAGTCTGAATTCTCGCTTAGTTGCCCCCTCGACACCCACTACACTCGCTTCACGTCGATATCTAGACAGATCAACTCCAGATCGCGATACGAACAGTGTTGTGGAGAAGCTAGCTGAAGATCGCGGGCAGCGACAATTCTCTCTCGGCCAGACAGCTCTACTCAACCGAACGAGCAGCCTCAGCAGACGACGAGAATCTGCTATCCCGAGCATGTCGTCCTCTGCCTCGCAGGCGGGCACTTACCGATGAAACCCCGATGTGACGTCTTTATGACCTTACAATATCACGATTGTACCACTATAGACAAATTCTTTTATTTTATTGCGACGGCGTTTTCTGCACACCAAATTTTCCTGCATGAGTAAACGGATCGCATACCTGTAATGCTTCTACCACGGATGATACCCTTTTCCGGTTCGTGCCGAAAAGGACGACTGCAGAAAAATAACTTCTTTTTGGGAGGGAAGGGGCCGGCCCGGAACGATTGCATACTATATCACCTCATCATTGTCGAAACAACCTACAGCGTCAGTTTAATAGTTGAGAGGCAGACGGCCAGGAAATTGAGGAGGCTAGGAGACTGAGGATTGACAGGGTCGAATTGACTCAAGTGTTGATGGAGAACGTTCTGTATTTATAGGTGGATAGGTCAGAGCGCCTTAAATGTAGTGTATGATATAGGGGTTTTTGTGTGAAGAGACATTTTGATACCATTCTCATCTTTGAAGATTGTCGCGTTGCAGTGAAATTCTAACATCTCAACGGTGAAAGTAATCAACGCTTACATTTACAGCATCGCTTCTATTATTTGGCTTCCATACGGTTGTAAGCCAATCAAATCTCCATTTAGACAAAGTAGGGTCACAGTCAGGGTGTCTCATATTCCTTTTGTAAATTGATAAAGGTTGCTCTCCAAAATCACGAGCCACTCACAGCCTCGTTAGTTTCTAAGGGGTTAAGCTGATCCAAATGTTGTAGTATTCATACCCCGCAGCCTTATCATCTTTTGAGGCATCAACTATTTCTTGAAAAGTTGAGATCCAGCTCAAACAATTTAAGGCTATTTCTTGGGGCCATGGCCCGTTGGCATACGCCAGACTGTCAGAAGCCTGATATTGTTGTGAAGGCCGGCGTTCCTTATTGCCAGGCATGCAAGTGCGCCCCTGACGTAGACGCGATCGTTACGGAGCAGTCGCGCCTCAGCTGGGTCCCCTCCATCCCACCGGATGAGCCATTGGAGAAACTGAGATTGAGATGGCCGTCAACCGTAGAATATACGACCTACGGCGATGACAACCCTGACGCCAGTGGCCACGCCGCTGATGCCTCCCCTGGAACGGAGAACTTGCAAGAGAAGAGAACTTCTACAGTATATACCGAAGTCCTGGACGACACGCGGTTTCGACTTCTCTATTTGAATCCATCATCAGACAAGGACGCTCCAATCCATGCCGATCTCGAGGTATATTCTTTCGATGCTTGCCCTGAATATGAAGCCGTCTCGTACACCTGGGGTGGAGAAACGGACGATACCATCAGGTCTTCGCCCGTCTATATTGGTGCCTTTTGGGATGTTGTTCTCCAGACAAGGAACTGTGCTGCTATGCTCCGGTACGCTCGTCGGTCGAGATCGATCCGCACTCTATGGATTGATGCCTTTTGCATCGACCAAAGCGACATGACCGAGAAGGGACTTCAGATACCTCAAATGCCAAGCATCTATCGTGGCTGTGCGAGAGTCCTTGCTTATCTCGGCGAAGAAATAGTAGGCCGAGGCTCAAGTGAACTCTCGCCTCGACGCAGTTTCGAGACGTTTGTGGAGATTGAGCAAGTGAGGAGGTTCATCAACTGCAGATACTTTACTCGTGTGTGGATCATCCAAGAGCTGGTGCTTGCCCGCCAGGTACTATTTCCCTTTCAGGGGGTAGAGTACTGGGTGGACAGAGCAACCATATCGTGGCTCAAATCGCCTGAGGAACTATGGCTGATATATCCTGACGACGAGCTACAATGGTTCCGAGAGCATCTGTCACAGCAGTCTTTTCAGTCCGATGACATCTCAACAGCAATGCAAAAAGCGTGGACATCTAAATCTGCAGATATCCGGGATAAACTGTTCGGTATTCTAGGTCTCGTGAAGAACATCTCTGCAGAAGGCTTAACACCTGACTACAACATCTCCGCCTTGCAGATGTTTACCGGCCTGAGTGCGCACTTTATATCCAACCTTGGTCTAGGGCTTCGATATGATGCCTTTCGTGGCTCCATTGGTATAAGAGGCTGGGGGAAGCAGCCTTCCTGGGTCCCTGACTGGTTGGCCATTGACCGTTGGCCACTCTCGAAAAGGACACCGCTCCGTGAGGCTCCATTCGACCCAGAACGGCTGGTTGTCTACGCAAGCAACGTTCTACAGCCCCAAATCACTATAGGGGGGAATGGCACCCTGTCTCTCGATGTGTTCTACATTTGCCCCATTCGGCAACAATTAGAAAGCACAACCAAATCTCACCGTCTTGAGCAAACGCTTCATCAATTCCGACTTCCTTTTGGAAATCAATACTTCCTTATATTAGCCTCAAGAATGGACGCTCTTGACAGCCTGGTCAATACACAAATGGATCATCTAGTGTGTTTTGGCGCAGGTGCGTGGATCGTGCGGAAACGTGAGCAGTCTCGCAGCGATTATCGTGTAGTCGCATGCATTGAGTATGTGCTCCTTGAACCCAACTTACGATTTATATGGGATGCCACTTCATGTTATATCGAAGAGTTTCTCGTTGCGAATGCTGTCTGCGCCATATACAACGAGCCTCCTTCTATGGCAGCAGATGGGGTGTTATCAGACCCCTATCTCGAGCGCCTTCATCCAGACCTCTGCCAACGTCGAAAGACGAATGCGGCCAAAACTTTCATGCGACAGGCGTTTCCTGGGGAGCAGAGTGCGTTCGATCTACTGAACGTACTCTATGCCCGAGGGCAACCTACGGCTCGCGCAGGGCTGCAATATAATGAAAAGGACATCAAAATATTGGCGGGTAGAGATAGGGGTTGTGTGTTTCCCCTATCGACGAACGAACTTTTCAGGGTTTTCTATGTAGTGAACGAGGGTTTCACATCCTTTGCATGGAATCTGTTCGCCCCCCACACACCTGCAACTATTTCTGAGTTTATTAAGCTCTCCTGGTATAGAGATCGATTCAGTGACGTCGAGGCAAGGTATTTGAGCCCACTGTCTACTGCGGAAGAAGCCCTACAAGCTAGGGAAGAGCAGAACGGATTTGCGCTGCAACCATTGGTTTGGGAGTGGAGTGTGCATGAGTCCGATGATGCTTCCTACGTTAAGGTAGACAGATCCGACGCCCAGGCCTTGAGGCGCTTTCGTGATGCCATCGTCGGCCACATACGCGTTTCTTTGAGGACTCGGACGTCAGAGCTTCTGTCGAGATTACAATACTACTACCAGTGGGATGAAGAGGTGCTGAAGCGTTTAAGTCCCATGTGCACTTTGGCCGTCGTATATTCCCGGCGCGGTGACAAATCCTTAGACATATTGCCGACACACTTGGACTTTCTCATGATGTTCTTAAGGGGGACTAGAACCAATATACATTTCAACGAACTAGAAGGCCTAATTGATCTTGACCTTCTGGATCTTCGAAAGAATCCAATCATAAGTCATTGGCCATTTCCGGGGACTGCTGGGGACCCTCAATGCGGCTCGGGCTTTCAGAGAGTCAAGATAGGGTAGTTGCAGGCATATAGAAGAGGGATGCACGCTTGGTTCCAACTCGTAATCCTATGTTAATGCTTGAAGACTTAGCAACTTGAGATGTTGTCTTTTAGTAGTAGTGATAAAGCGATAAATGAGTGCATTCTTCTCGCTTGTACCCGGCGGTCATGAGAGCTCTAAACCTGCTCTCTGCTTGAGGTTGCACTATATTTGACCTCAGAAGCATGATAAAGCTCATGTGGCCATCGTCTGCCTTCCAAGGTCATTCAAATCTGAGCTACCTGTGGACTCCGGAACAAATCGGGTGCCTCCACAATCAAGAGATCCGAAACTTGAAGCATAGAGAGCTACGGGTTGAGGCTCTTAAGGTACGACGGAAGCATGTAAAGTGCATCGTGGAGGTTGTCCTACTCCCCTGCCTGGGTAGTAAACGCTGGTTTCTCTTGGGCCATTGCATTAAATGACGAGAGCCATGATACTCATCAGGCCCTTAAAAGTTGTTTAATACTATGGGTCTATCAGCTTCTGTAAAGGTAGTCATCTCTTATTAGGGAGACAAAAATACCTTTGCTGAACTAACATCTGCTCCACCGGCGGCGGAGTAGTGACTCATGCCGGAGCTTTTAACAAAGCGCCACACTCTAATTTAGCGACTGGCGCCCCGCAATGTGCTAAATTACACGATAATTTAAGCCAAAATCAGTGCCTCATGAGGCAATTGGTACGCTGTTGTCGACAACATTTTAACGGCAGGTTGTTCATGCTGCTTTTAAAGTCGCCTCTCGGAAGTTCAATAAATTCTATCTGGACAGTTCAAAACCGATCACTGAAGGCTACCAGAAACACTATCGAGGAGTCAACTTCACGCATTTCTCATCTCGCCAATACGACAAACGGTCGAATACCTTTCATCATGGCGGACGAGCTCGCCGATCGCTTTGAGCAACAGGCGTCGGTGCGTCCTCCAAAGGGCAAAGGCCGCAGTGGAGGTGGCGGCAAGGGACGGAGCGGAGGCCCAGGGCAGGGCAGGGACGTGGACATCTCACGAGCGCTATCACGCCTCCTGCGGCACCAGGCCGAGAATGCAGGAATCAAGCTCGACAAGGAAGGCTTCGCACCGCTAGATCGCGTGCTGAAATGGGGCCCGCTGCGCACGCTGGAGGTGTCGTTCGCGGAGGTGCGCAAGGCTGTCGAGGACTCGGACAAGCAGCGGTTCAGCCTGAAGCCGAACCCGGCGACAAACCCGGAGCTGGATGAGAGCTCAGAAGACCCGGCGGACTGGATCATCCGCGCCAACCAGGGCCACAGTATCAAGCTCGAGTCCGAAGCGATGCTGAAGCCAGTGACGCTTGAAATGGACAATATACCGCCTACCGTCGTTCATGGCACCTACTTCGCGTTCTGGCCGAAGATCTTGAGCAGCGGCGGTTTAAAGAAAATGGGCAGAAATCATGTTCATTGCAGTAGGGGTCTGCCAGAGGATAAGGAGAACGTCATCAGTGGAATGCGGAAAGATGCCGAGCTTCTCATCTATATCGATGTACGGCGAAGTCTAGAAGACAAAGCCATGACATGGTGGATGAGCGACAATGGAGTTCTGCTCTCAGAGGGCGATGAGAATGACGTTGTGTCAACCAAATATTTCAAGGAGGTGGTGGGAAGGAAAGAAGATGTCGGTCTTTTGTGGCAAGACGGCGAGCAAGTTGCAGAGCTGCCGAGCCATGTCAAAGGTCGACCGCCTCCCTCCAAAGGGGGTGTAGGTGGCAGAGGAGGTCGTGGGGGTCGAGGAAGAGGTGGTGGCTCACGATGAATAGTCTTTATTGCTTACATGCGAATAAGAACCACCTTGTAGAGATAAGACGGAAGGTCTAGAATGCCCAGAAAACGAAGAATGGTATCCTCGCCATGCTACGATCGTACTCCACGTTTCTTAGGACCTAATACTCAGAGCAAGGTAGCGTTCTAAGTAGACCTATCCTAATATAATCTGGCTATTTTGAAGTATCTCTCTGTCGCTCTAACGTCTTTCTTGTAATCTCTCATAAAGTAGTTATAATGTTCCTTATATGGATTGAAGGAGTTTGTCCGCTTGTTCTCCCCTTTCTGCTTCAATCTCTAACAAACTCTTTAGCACGTTGACGGCGATTGCCTCCTTTGCAGCCTTCCGTGTATACACGTTACTCACATGCCCCATTTGAGTAGGCATGTCTATGCCGCTCGGAAACTCAGCCCAGCCGCTGAAAAAGCTGTGTGACTCCGGGTCTGGATGCAGCTTATATTGAGGTGGTTGAAATTTAAGGCGAGCACAGATAGCAGGAATCCTCTGTGTTGCAGGTGTGCCATTATCCTTGCCCACAACAAGGCTCACTCCGCCAGCACTTGTATCTGGCGGTGGTGGTTGCGGCGGAGGCTTTGGTTTCGGTTTGGGAAATGTGACGTTGCCGTCGTCGGGCATCCACTTCTCTCCAATAAGCCATTCGATTGCACATCTGGCTGCGTGCCTCTTTGCGTCTTTCTTGCGAGCAAAAGAAATCACCTCTTCTCCTGATCGGAGCAAAGGTAAGGGGGAGTCGGACTCGCTGAGAACACACTGCATGGTCCATCTCGGTATCTTATCCCCGGTCTGGACTTCCTCTTCAATGTATTCCAGCTGCCCGCTAGGATGGGCATCACGGTACTCTATTCTGCTGGTGAGTTCCCATGCTGACAAATTGATCAAAGTCTTTGAAAGACTTACTTTGGAGCAGACTAATCCAGTCGGTATCATCGGGCTTTGGCTCGGGAGCCGAGGGTCGTATGAGCTGTTCAAGAGCCTTTTGTTGCGCGTCGGTCAAGGGCGCTGGTCTCGAGTGTTCTCGTTGATATTCCTCTTGAACAGCAAGCCATGCCTTCAATTCCTCGTAGATGACAGCAGGTTTGGCAGAGGCTTGTGAGTCTTCATCTGCTGGCATGATGTTCCTCAAGCCTGCGGCAGCTCTTTGTCTCTGCTTCCTTTTGCGCTTTCTGATATTTTTCTGGATCTTACTAGATTGGTTGACTGGGAGGTCCTTCGATATGGTCCTCAAAAGTCTTGATATGAGATCGCCCTTCTTTTTCGTCATTCGAAAAGTGGAAAGATCTATGGACATAGAGGTTCTCTTGGGAAAGCAAGAAAGACCAAATTGCGGGCAGGAAGTTTCGAGGGTGGGGTTGAGTATAAGCTGCCACCACGGTGACGAAAGGCTGGGCTGCAGGAGGCCTACCAAGTACCACAATTTGGATGCTAGGCAACCTATCGAAGCTCAGCGAAATCAAACAGTTGGGCATGAGTGAGTGTTGTTGTTGTTGGGATTCTTGGAGAAGGAACCAGAAGTCACCATACTCCTCGGCCAGGGTAATAAACGTTAACTCCCAAAGGGCTACGTACAACATGGTTTGAGCCACGGTACTTTTAAGTCTTGAAGATTCTGTTTATTATTGTAGCCTCAGCAATTGATAATAAAGGTAAGAGTTAATAGATGTTGTTGAAGAGGTTATAATATCCTTGGTGATAATGCTCATGAAAATCTTATCGTGTGTCGTCCTCACTCCTAGGATGATGATAAGCTACGTAGGTAGTCTCTGTTGTATGCAATCCAGTCTACCTATGAACATCTAGTCTTCGTGAGCTGGAATACTCATTAAGCATTTCAAACTCGTCTAGAGCAGAGTGTAATGGCGAATGTAGAACACAATGAGGTGTTGTAGATGTTTGACCAAAGCCTCGTCCTCTGTTTTGACGGCCTGAGTTCTCTCCCTGACCCACCCCAGGAGTATTTGTTCATTTCCAAAAGCCTAGGTGGCTCTGGAAGGTCTGTATACAGAAGCTTGGAAGTCCTAACAAGTTGTTGTTGTCTGTTATCTGCCCGAATCTCAGCTTGCTTGGTTGAACGGAGGCTTGAGTGGCGGGTAGACCCTGCAGGTAGCCAATGCTTTGGGGTATAAGCAACGGTAGTGGGTCTAGGAGCCACGTTCTAGGGGCGCTCAGCGAATGGGCTGGTTGACTCAGCGGTCGTTTCTAACAAGCACGTTAGCACCAGCACCAACTGCACCCCGATGCATTGGCCTGACACTGGACTCTGATAGGCCAAGCACCTGTCCGAATGTACGTTCATGACCGGGGGTGTCTAGACCCGCTGAAATGGACGACCACAACGCCGCCCACAACGGCATCGACCCGCACACTGTGATAAAGGGCAGCGCAGAGTATTAGAAGTCGCATCGAGTGACTGCAGTGGAGCTGTTGGGCTGTCTCTTTTGTTTTTCTCTTCCATCGCTCATAGTCCAGCGCCCATTTCCACCGTCGAGATCTCATGGCCGAGGGTCAAGCGTGACATCAACCCTCCGTCATCCCTTCCCCGCCATCTCCAACTCGAGCCGAGGGTTATCAAGATGAGGACGCTGGGCGAATCCAAGTAAGTCGCCGACAGTCAACGGCCCGCTTCAGACTGGTAGTTAACTGGGACTCTAGAATACGATGGGAGGAGACACTCAAGCACAGCAGCAGCTTTCAAGACCTGCAAAGAGCTGTCAAGTTCAACGGACCGAATAGTCCTTGCCTCGCAGGGTGTCGGTCTGTATGCTGGAAGGTAACTATACTCAAAGCAGATAGGACAGATCTGTCCAACCTGAATAACTGAAATAAGAATCAAGTCGGCTTACGGGAGAATGTAGGCCTTCTTGTTGTTTCAAGACACAAATGCTTCAAACTGGTCGCACATACTGCTAGAGTCACGCAACACATACAGCACTCTGCGGGACCATTACTTAAAGTACATCAAGCATCCGGAGCAGCTGGCCGAGCTCTCTCTCGATCCTCTCGCTGATGACCCTGATGTAAGTCCAGCTGTCAATGGGTTGTGAAATGTCTCCTGATTACTGGTAGTCGCCATGGAACGCTGTGCGTCAAGACGAAGTCATCCGCGCCGAGATCCTGCAGGATGTCCAGAGGTTGCCGGATGAACCTTTCTACCACAAGGAGAGCACACAAATTCTCATCTTGGACATTCTATTCATCTACTGCAAGCTGAACCCCGACGTCGGCGGGTACCGGCAAGGCATGCACGAGCTACTCGCGCCTATTCTCTACGTGATCGATCAAGATGCCATCGAGCGCGACAAGGTCACCCCTGACGATCTGGCCGACCAGATTATGGTGGAGATGCTGGACTCGTATTTTGTCGAGCATGACGCTTTTGCCTTGTTCTCGAGAGTCATGGAAAAGGCGAAACCCTTCTATGAGGTCAGCAATGGGAATGGGCGATTCGCAAGCGAGCAGAGCGCCATTGTGGAGAAGAGTAAGAAGATTCATGAGGTCTCACTCATGAGAATTGATCCCGAACTGTCAAATCATCTGAAAAACGTCGAGATTCTTCCTCAGATATTCCTAATGTAAGTGTTATATCACCCCTGTATCGAGAAACCTATTGCTGAATTGCCACAGTCGCTGGATACGATTACTATTCGGGCGAGAATTCCCTTTTGAGCAGCTTCTTGTGCTCTGGGACACCATATTTGCGTTTGACCCGTCGTTAGAGCTCATCGACTTGATATGTGTAGCAATGCTCATAAGGATACGATGGACACGTAAGCTTCTTTGACCTGGAGTCTCATGAAGCCATACTCACTCTCTCAATAGTATTAGATGCAGACTACTCTGTTGCTCTGCAACTACTTCTGAAATACCCAGCTCCCCAGGCTCCTCACGGACCGCACACTTTTGTCGACGACGCAGTCTATCTGAAGGATCACTATAACTCCCTGGGAGGCGCATCACTGATCATGAAATACACCGGAAGGACTCCCGCAACCTCATCAGCAGCAAGCTCCCGCCCATCCACCCCATCCTTTTCTGGCCTCTCCATTCGCCAACGGCGACCCGGCGTGCGATCGCCACTGGCGTCCCCAGACCGCTTCATCCAGAACCAAGCCGACGTCAAGGCGCTGTTCCAGGGCGCCGCCAAGGGCGTCTTCGAGCGCGGCGAGAAGCTCGGTATCAACCAGGCCGTGCGCGACGCCATGGGCGAGATCAAGCGCAACATGCAGGGGTTCCAGGAGGCGCGGCGCTCGATGAATGTCAACGGTGCCGCTCACCCGACGGCGGCCTTTGCGACGGTCGCGGAGATGGAACAGCGGAACAAGCAGCTGGCCTCTGTCCTAGACGAGACGATATCAGCGCTCAAGTCTCTGGCGGAATCGAATTTTGACGGAGATAAGGAGAAGCTCACCCAGACTGTCGAGATGGCGGTGGCCAAGACGCAGTTCGTCAAGATCTACCTCGAGGACTCGTCCCTCGACTTGCCAGACGTCGACACGCCTGCTGCCCTGGCTGTATCCCCCGCCAACAAAGAAAACGTCTCTCCCGGACCACTCGCCGGCGAGGACGAAGTGATGGCCGACACGGACGAGCCCAAGCCCACAGCAGCAGTCTCGACCTCCCCAACCTCGGCACCAGAGCCATCCGCCGGCCCCATCATCATTACCGACGACGCCGTCGCCGCCCAAGACCCCCTCCAGACCACCGCCGTCGGAGACGATCGCATGCAAACAGACAGCCCCAAGCCCAGCGCAGCCCCCGCCGGCACCACAAAGCTCGAGCGGCCACACGCACCGATCCCCACGCGCTCCACGCTCGCGCAGTCCTCCTTCTCGTGGATGCTCGAGCCCGACACGTCCGCGTCGTCGGCATCCTCGCTCTCCGCCGCGCACGCCTCCCGGGCGCAGCAGGGCCCCTCGTCGGCACACAAGAAGCGGCCCTCGTCCAACGCCAGCCGCGAGCGCAACGCCTTCCTCTTCGGCGAGGTGACGGCCCCTGAAGTCGGGGGTGTCGGTGTCGGTGGGGGTCCCGGCGCGCGGCCGTTCACCTCGGACGACATATTCGGGCTGGAGCCGATACGGAGGCCGAGGGCTGCGAAGGACAAGAGCCACGAGAGCCTGTTTAGCGGTGAAGGGGCTCCGGATTCTTGAGGTAGCCAGCGGCATCGGAAGAGAGGAGAGGGGTTCGGTTGTATGTATGTACATATTGGGGCACACGGATGGCGTTCCTAGAGTAGCTTCTGATTGTCATTCATATGGAGGGTGATATCATGTGCGCTGCATTCATGTTGTTTTGAGCAAATTACATATGAGCGCTCAAGGGGTCCAAAGAGGGTGACGAGCAGTGACAGTTGCCGCGTCAGAATAGACTATACACATCCAACTTTGCGTTTGCTGTGTAGAGTTATCACTAGCCATTGGTGTCTTTGAACGAATTTGATTGTTTTTGACTCGACTGTCATCTCTTGTCTGATATCGAGTCCACCACATACACACCGCAATGATGTTTCCCGTCCATATGCTGATGCTTTTTGTTTTCGCAAGCCACCCAAGAACCTCCCCATCCCAGAAAAGTCCAGCCAATTTTACATACACGCTTGATAGCAAACTTTGTTCAACGGTGGTGCATACTTGCATCCTTCTCTCTCGGCTTGACTCGATTCGACTCGACTCGACTCGGCTCTATCCTCTAAGTGGCGTGTAATCACCAATCTCCTCTACCGACTAGCATCCAGCGGATCCAGTTATCTTCACGTCTCTGACATGGTCTTCTTCCCACCTTCCCCATGTTGCCTGCCATTTCATATGTGTCCTTCTCTCGACTTCCCATGTCCTTTAAAAGTGAAAAACTCTCTTGTGGGGGTATCATGCACCAAAACAATTCTTTCCATCCTCCAATGCTGTACCCAACCCATCCGCCTCCCCCCCTTCTATCATGTTCTCTACGTTTGAAAGTTATCGAGCCAAGCCAAGGCATGACGGCTCAGCTTTACTCATCCTCCTCGTCCACCTGGCACCACGGGTGTTCCAGGACCTGGGTGATGTCGTATCTCTGCGCGACATCACGGTTCAGCATGCAGCGGATGAGATCGATGCTCTCCTCGCTGATAGTGTAGGGCACCCTCAGGTCGCGGTCCATGATCTCATCGATGCTGTAGAACGGGTTCTCCTTATAGATAATGGTGTAGAGAAGAATGCCAAGCGCCCAGACATCCTGCTCCTTGCCACCGTAGGGTTTGCCTGCAAGCACTTCGGGCGCGGCATAATCTAAAAAGACATTAGCATGCCGGACGAATATGATATGAAAGACTGGGGAGCTTACCAATGGTGCCTACGAAAACATCAAAAGGCCCACTCTTGATATATGCGGCACTACCGAAGTCAATGAGCTTGATGTTGCCCTCCCCGTCCAAGATAATGTTTTCGTCCTTGATGTCGCGGTGAACCACGTGTGCCTTGATGTGCAAGTGATGAATTGCCCTCGCCACCTGAATGAATATGGATCGACATTCATCTTCCTCCATATTTGCGCGAAGTTCAATGTAGTCGAACAGATCCATGCCAGGAAGACCATGCGGGACCATTTCAATGTAATAATTGACGCTGTCCTCGAAAAAGTCTTCCATCTCCACAATGTTGGGATGCCGCAGATTGTCTCGCCGCAGGTAATCAAGCACGTGAATCTCAAGAGGAACAGTGCCCAGTCGCCGATCTCGCGTCCAGGTGTCGACCAAAATTCGCCGTTTTGTGACATACTTCAAAACGACCTTTCGGCCATCAGGCTTGTACCTAGCAAGCTTGACTTGACCATACGCTCCCTGGCCCATTTCCTCGAGAATAACAAAATCCTCGATAGTCTTCTTTGGTGGTGACTCGATTACCTGAGGCACCACTGCTTTCTCAGCTGCTTTTTCGGCTACCTTCTCGGCGACCTCCCCAGCAGCTTTATCGGCTCTCACTTGTATTCGTTGTGAGCCGGTGAGCCTGGCCGCAGCTGACAGGGCAACCTCTTTAAGTTGTCTGCTAAGCATCGAAGACGTGTTCTGCTTTTCCCTGGGTTCATCCGAATCCGATCCTATTTCCGCAGGTGTATGAGCTGGTGTTTGACCCGGTGAAGGCTGATGTAGCGGCGTGGCCGTTCCTGACAGTAGGGGCGAGGCAGCTCCAAGGTTAGCTTTTGTGGCGTGCATATGCCTCGAGTAGGTAATCCACAGTGCATATACCATCTCGGCTGCATTGACGGTGAACTTTTTCTCCGAGCCGGCAACCGATTCGTCATCGCTGTTCTCTATTACATTCTCTTCGGGAATTGCAGCCTGTTTTTCGCTGGTTACCACTCTCATCTGGACGTCGATTTTCAATTCAGTGCCATCGCGGTGCTTGGCCGGGAGTCCTTCAGGGCGCAAGAAGGAGGTCGCAGCATCCGGTCGTCCCTCTCGCAAACCCAAGAATGCTGAGGCCTTGCGGAAACTATGCTCGGGTACAACAATCCCATCAACCATGTTTATCCCATCTTCATCAATCAGGATGTGAAGCAGCTTCTCGAAATTTGGCACCAGCGTGTTGATAGACATTCCATCGGGCTTTTCATAGCCAAACAGAGCTCCACAGAAGACAGAATTAGAGCTCTTGATCGTCAGGGTGCTCGTTGACACGACTATGATGCCGGCTATGTGTGGAAAGCTGGAGACACGTAGTTCTGTTCTGCCCCTGACCTGCTCGACCGTTGCCGGAATGTTGATTCTATCGCAGTTCCGACAAGTGAAATATCTCAGTTTTGAGCACTGCCGATAATCGATCTCACCTGTCCGAGGATCTATGCCTTGCCGTGGGATTCGCGGGATTAGCTTCCCGACATCCATTCCAGGTCGTAAGTTCTCGTCGCCCCAGATTGGACCCAGAGCGCCATCTAGCTTGACTACAACACCGTCTTCATCTAGGGTCAGATAGGCGACGTCCTCATGAATTTCCTCTAGAACCCAGATCAAGCCGACTTTCTTTTCTTTAACCCACAGACTTGCAGCACCTGTCGCGCCGTTGCGTTTCTGGATTGGCACCACGTCACCACACAGCAACACGCCCCTGGACTTGTTGGTCTTGTGGTTTGCATGGCCTCCACCACTGGGCTTTGGCGGTCTTGGGTCACCGCTGTGGAACGTCTCTGGTCTCCGCGCAGGGGATTTAATCTTTGGCGTCTGGGATCGAGAGTTCGGTTTGCTGAGCAACTTAGCAGTGATGCCTCCGCCTCGTGCTCCCAGTAGACTTGTAGATACTCCGACTGGTTTTGGACTTGATGGTACAACTTCGGTTTCGGACTCGGTTCCGGCATCAGTAATCGTATCCCCATGTTTCAGTTTCCGTTCAAGCCACGCTCTCCTCTCCTCTTGTACAACTTCCAGGATACCCATCTTCCGCACCTCAGCCTTTGTGACACCAAATACTAGACATGCCAGATCATTGGCTGCAAGGATTGTCCAGGGTGGTTTGGCCTCTGTGGTGAAGATAGCTTGCGCCGCCGGCACCCATCGAGTGCCATGGCCATGAACACTCGAGCCAATGGCACTCGGGGCGTTGAATGACGAGCTAAAGGATTGATTAGCTGTCGGTGACGAGACCTGCTCTTGGTACGCTGGTGGGCCAATCACGAAAGGCTGGGCCAGTGCATCCATAAGCTTTTGCTGTAGCGAGACCTGTTTCGTGTCGGTCATGGTCCGCTTTAGCATGCTTGGTCGTCTTGAAGATGGCGGAGAGGTCTTCTGCGTTGTTCCACTTTCGTTTGTTGGGGTTCGAGATGAACTCTCCGAATCCTGCTTTTCCAGTATTGTAGATGATCTTCTCGAGAGAGGCTCCTCCTCAGTAGATGATCTTTCTTCTTGAATTGGTTCCGGCAGACCCTGGTGGCGTGGTGCCGTAGGAGACACCATAGGCGTCACGAAAGACTCGGGGCTTGCAGTTCTCGGTATAAAGTGCTTTTCGAAGATATTCTCGCCCGTCAGGTCTGCCGGGCCTGTCAAGGGACCCGTAGGAATCGAAGCATCTGCACTCGGGATGTTCCCAGCGCTGACCAGGTGCGCCTTAGCCAGGAGGTCAAGCATGCCCTGTGTCTCAGCGTCCCCGGTCAGCCGGGCGTGTGCACTGGCGATGGCGGCGTTCGACGTGGCATTCCATGCTTTCCGGTCCTTCATAAACTCTATAGAACGCTTCAAGACATTTTGCCTGTTATGTAGGAATTCCTCTGACTGGTGTGCGAAGGAGAAGGAATGTAAGGATTCGGAGGGGAAGCGGGAGAGGTCTTCGGTGAAGGCGGGCGAGGACGGGCCCGACGAGATTGGCATGATTTGCGAGTGAGGCATGATCATGGTCATGGAAGCCGACCGTGGCAAGGTGGCACCGATCGATGGGCTTCGAGAAGGAGGTTGTGAAGGTATTGAAGGGACGCGTACGGATGGCGGTTGACGTATGCGCCGTAGTCCGGACAGACCAAGTCCATGATCGTGATCTGTCATGATGGGAGACCTGGAACAAAGAGAAATCCAGTCAGCTTTGCAACGAGGCACGAGAATGCCGAAGGGCGAGAGGAGAGTCGCAGCAGGGGCTATGTGACGTGTATCGTAGGGCTGGAGAGGGAGGGTGTGGTGAGGGGAAACATTTGACTGGCGGATTCCTACCTTGTGATCGAATCATATTCAGCAGCCGCAGCGCCGGCATCGAAGGAGAAGCGTATTCGAGCCTTTTCGGAGCTGTCTGCGGCGCTGAGGGCGAGGTTCCCCGTACTCCTGTTCTTTGGTATTTGCAGGGCCGGGGCGAGCTTGCTTCTGCCTCGTTCCTCTCCCATATGTGGACTATCGACGCCTGCATTGGATTGCAAAACAGAGGTCAGTATGGAGCTATTCGCAGGACCGACGGTATGAGCTGGGTGATTGCTAGCAAAAGGGCTCACCATTGTCATGATCTCCCCCATGAATATGGAGCATAATTGGTTACGTGCACGACCAGTCGGGGGAGGACACTGGACGCGAAGATGTCGATTCTGCGGACTCGGGGTGCGAGAAAAAGGGCAGCACGACGATGAGGCGTTTCGGCAAGGGCGGGGTTCCCAGCACAGAGGGCAGGCGGCAGGTAAGGTAGGTGCGTCTTAATAACCCTTGACGGGAGTGCCGCCTGCGTAATAACAAAAACAAGAATGACACGCCGTGCCCGTGCCTCCGAGTGCAAGCAGAACAGACTACCTAACAAAGCCGTCTGTGCTGTGCCAGAAGCACCGAGTTTGAAGAATCGCTGGCGGGCAGCGGAACGTGGCACTCGCAAACCTTAGGATCAAAGCACAGAGGCCGGCGTGGCAGTCACTTCTCCACGTCTACCTAGGTAGTTTCTGTGACAGGTGGAATTGGCCAAGTAGCGACAAAGAAACGGACGGTAAGGGAAGAAAGGTCAACTGTGGTAGGTAGGGTGATGGGTCGTCGTGAAACCTGTGCCTGGCCGATCGAGTTGTGAGGCGGCGAGCGGGAGCACAACGTCAAAAGCAGAAAAACGATAGAGCTGATGCTGCCAATGAGTGGTGTGTCCTCAATGCCTTTTGAGGCATGTGAAAAAAAATGGCGAGATGAAAATCCAAGCTCCGCCAAACAAGAAGCGGTGTCAACGTCGACGCCGTCCGCCGTCCCAAGTTAGGCGATGCACCACCGTACGGTACTGGCGGTAGCTCGCCTAGGGTAAGGTGAGGCCGCTAGATCTTAGGATCTGGCCAGGCGGTGCGGTACGTTGCGCTTCAATGGCGGATAGAGGTCCAGACGGGCCTTCTTGGAGTTTTTTCCCTCTCTCTCTCTTTTTAGAATCTCACGATCCTGGAGACTCGGCTCGGCAGTCTGCGCGCTGGTGCAATGGTTGGCTGACTGGTGGCGCAACGGGCACGGTAGGCCAATGCCGGGGCTGAATTGAGAACTGCCAGTGCAGCAGGTGGGAGCAGGGAAAAGGAAAAGACGGTCTCTAGAGGTGCTGCGATTCGCACACGAGTCACCAATCTGGCATGGCCGTATGTCCGTATGTCCGTCTGTACGTCTGGATGTCTGGTGATGGGACAGAGATCTCTTCTTGTCCAGGACAGGCGCGAGCTTTCCGTGAGAGTAGTGCCCCTAAATCTCGCCGCTTGCCGCAACAATGGATGAATCAATGAGCGCCCAGGGCAGAAAGAGAAACATCCAACAGAGACAATAACAAGCAATGACTCTGTCTGTCTCTACCCTGTGCTCCATCAGATCAGCCATTTTCGATACACTTCGCCTCGACACGTATACAGTGTCAGTAACAGGCCGCCCAAACAACAGCATCCAGATGAGGCGTGGCGTGGGCAGCGATTGTGGTGCGAGGTGCCAAACTCCACACCTAAGCCCCCTACCAGACAGCACTGCCAGGGTCTGTTTCGTAGGGTTTGCTGTGGTGGAACAGCTCAAATGTGCCGCTGTCAGCAATACGTTGGGGCAGCAGTGGGGTCAACCCGCTGCGAAAATACAGTGCGACAGACGGAAAGTCCACGCATGCATGAATGCGCGCACCCGCACGCACGCGCAGGGCCACCAGGAAGGCGGAAGGCGGAAGCAGAGCGACGTCAGGGAGACCCTCCGCCGTCCATCCAGCTCCAACACCTGGAGATCCCAAGGCTTCTAATCAAGCCCGCCAAGACCCTGGCAAGACAGATCTTTTGCCGCATCCCTACCCAGATGCCACGGTCAGCGGTGATCTTCGCCCTTTGGGGCTTCCCGTCGCCCTCGAGGGAGTTCCAAAGCTCTCACTCTGCCGCCCTTCCGGCTCGGGCCACAGAAGACAACAATAATAAAATCCAAACTTTGGTGCAGATCGCCGGTAGGAACATGTGCCCCCTCACCTCCGATTATTTTCGAGGGATGGCCCTGCAGTCAACTTATCGGATAGATATAAATCCGTATGCAATGGTAGGAAGGCGAAACACCAATGGAAATCTAGCTGTCTATCAAGGCGAAAGCGCCTTCGCAATGGAAACGGGGGTATCAATCCTAGAGGAAAGTCTATCCCAGGAGCAAGCGTAGCCCAGGAGAGGGAAGCACTCGCTGGTCTGGATTCTAATTCCTGAGCACGAGCACGGGAAGGATGTGAAGGTGTGCATTTGTCACGACAGACGCACAGTGTCTCCAAAACAGGCCCCCGATTATGCTCGAAATCTTTTACTAACGTTCGAGCTGGAGTTGGGGTCGTCGGAGCCAACGGCGGCTAACTACAAATTCCTCCAACCAAGTGCTCGATGATTCGCAAGCGGACGGGACATTGGACAGACGGCCGATGCAGCGCCGGTGATCGTGCTACTACTCGAGTCAACGGTCAGTGGCCGTGGAGGTACTCGAGTCATAAGCACGGCTCATCCATCTTCGATACCAAGAGTCGAGGGTGTCGTTGAGGTGTAATCATGACTCTATGAAGACGATGTCCTCTGTTCGCTGCACAATTGATAATTGGTCAGATAGCAATTCCCCAAAGACGATGGGATGAACATGACAGCTGCAGCCGACCAACAACAGGCCTCACCTGCCGCCGCATACAACCCATCTTCAGCACACAACGGGACCCTGAAGAGTGACAGGTCAGGTGTGCCGCCGTATCCAAGGTCGTACTTTGTATCAAAAAGTGACCGCAGCAGCCCTATAGCAACACAAAGACATTTGATCAAGCATCAACGTCGATCACTCCTCCCGAAGTGAAGGAACGCACGGCTGCGGTCGTTGATGGTCGGCGGCGTGAGCGGCTATGGGGTCCCTGTTATTTACGCTACCACACTCAGGCTGGTCCGTCCTTTAGACGCCACCCCGGGGTAAATCCTGCAGATGGCATTTTTTGCTACTGTTTGCTCCACGCAAGTCTGTCAAGCACCGTCTTCGCTACGGTAGCCCTTTGGCCAACCAAGTTGAAATCTCCATTACTTCTGAAAGGGCTTCGCACCATGACTTCTTGAGAGGGAGGGAGAAAAAAAGAGGGGATGACCCTACCAATGGACCCACAAATGTGCAAATACGACCGTGAGTTTGGTTATGAAGTGTGAAACCGATGTGTGTTATATATGGCTTAACTTACAGGACTTATATGGCCAGCCGGCACTGCCTGCCTGCACCTTGTGTGTGTGTGGAGTCACGTGATTTGGACACTAGAAATTGGTTCTATCAGAAAAGCCTATAAGTGAGCATCAGAAAGAGGACTATTGATTGAGAACATTTTACTGTGTTAACTTGGTTCCTGTGAAGAGAGACAATGGCATTATGTCTTATTGTGTATCTTATGGTGAATTGGACAGAGTGATCTGAGCCAAATCTAAATATATATATAAAACGCAGTATATTCTGACTGAAAGTATATGCCCTGTTTGGGAAGATATGGCTTAATGTGTGGTCTTCAGGTCCAAATCACCTTTTAAGACATACATAGCTCCACCGGAATTAGCGCACACTCCATCTCGTCGGGTGTCATGCTCAAGGTCATAGTGACAGCGATGCCTACCTAATAACAGAGAGCTTGGTCTGCATGGCTTTTATCGCCTCAGGCCTTAAGCAGGTACATAGCTCTTTTTAGTTAAGTACTTTCTACTAGGAATTAGGTTGACTAATTTTTTTTCTCTTTTTTGCTGGAGAATGCCAGACATGCAGTGCTTATCTTCTGAGAAATATTAGCATCATATATATTTAGGTTTGCGCTGGGTTTTCACAGATTGCGAAACTACTAAGTCTTTTTTCTCTCTTACAAACAACCACGAGATCATTTCCATTCCAAATAACATCTCCTTCCAGCATCAATTACTATTCAAAGGGCACTATCATATTCGCATTTCACAAGACATAATGGATAACTCTCATCGTGGCGATGAGTTTTTCGCCAACTCTGGATTTGCCAACCCAATGGGCTGGGGAAAGCGACCTGTCTTGTTGATCATCGATGTGTGCAAGGCATACTGGACAAAGCGTTCCCCGTTGAATTTGTCAGCACATCAGCCTTCTGCAACAGTGCCAGTAGTGATTCAGAACCTTCTGACCGCCGCTCGTACTTCCGGCGTACCTGTGATTTGGACTTGCGTTGAGTACAAGACCATGACCGACGCAGGGCTGTTTTGGCTCAAGAGCAAGAGCCTGGATGTTTGGCAAGTCAGTGACACGAGGGGCTTTGGCGACTGGATGGAGGGCTTGGAGCCTCGCGATGGAGAATCAGTCATCAAGAAAAAGTACCCGAGTGCTTTCTTTGGCACTACACTTGCTACAGACTTGGTGGTAATGGGAGCGGATACAGTGGTCATCTGCGGAGTGAGTACAAGCGGGTGTGTGAGAGCATCGACTCTTGATGCTATGCAGAATGGATTCCGTCCTATGGCAAGTTTTCTCCCCTTCTTCCTTGAGACTCGACTAACATACTTGCTTCAGGTTGTTGGCACCGCGTGTGGGGATCGGAGCGAGGAGATTCAGAACTCCAATCTTTTTGATCTGAACGCCAAGTATGCTGATATTGTAACAGAGGCGGATGCTATCAATCATCTTAGTCGAACGTGGGAATAGAACGCATTCAGGGTGCCAAGGATTAGAGGCTATTCCGTTATCACTTGTTGTATGTTTCCTTATGTCTGGAAGTAGCTTGCAATCATGAAGCCTCTCAATTGCTGGTAGATTAGCAATGCCACTTCCGACGGCACTGTTCCGACTAACCGACCCTGATAACGACCCAAATTAATTGTAGAACCGGACGACATCGGGAAGCTTTAGCTGAATGCAAATCATCAGTTCTTCAACTCCGATAACCCGGTAGGGTTAGTTGAGATGAGATGGCATTGTGGTGCATAGCATGATACGATTGTTGGAGTTGTCCGGTCCGGTGTGATGTGCACTAGTCAATCCGTCTTCGAGTGATCTATTCGTAGCTTTACTTTACGATAAATCTCATAATTGCAGAAACTTGGATGTCCTGTCAATTACTTGTCGGCGTAGATCTCCCGTCAATCTGCTATCTCTTCTCATTGTCCTTCATTGGCATTTGCCCCTGTGTATCGGAATATTCTCAGACCCAACATGGCGAACAACGCAGCACAAGGGCTTCCAAAGAAGAGGATCTACCTTAACTTCTTTGATCATGGCTGCACGGGATCACACATGTCTCCAGGCCAATGGAGGTAAATTCCTGGGTATTCTCTCACTCATCTTGTGTTCCTGACATCGTGGGTTTAGGGATCCAAGTGACAAAGGAACGACCAAGGATACATTAGAGTACTGGACCAGCCTAGCCAAGTTGGCAGAAAAGGGAAAAATCAGCTTTATTTTCCTTGCCGATAGCTACAACACACACGACATCTACGGTGGATCCTATGATCCTATGTTGCGTGCTGGCGCGCATGTCGCTACCATAGATCCTTTCACCATTGTGTCCGCCATGGCTGCCGTTACCAAAACTGTTGGTTTTGGTCTTACGGCAAGTACCAGTTATTTGACTCCTTACATATTGGCTCGTAACTTCTCTTCACTAGACCATTTGACAAATGGCCGTGTGGCATGGAATGTGGTTACCAGCTGGAGTTTGAGTGCCGCCCAGGCTCTGGGCCATGACGATGTGGTACCTCATGACCAACGTTATGACGTGGCTCAGGAGTACATGGACTTGATGTATAAATTTTGGGAGAGCTCCTGGGGACCTGAATCGGTCAAGTGGGATCGTGAAAGTCGCATTGCTTTTGACCCGGCAGAAGTGAAAAAGATTGAGCATCAAGGAAAATACTTCAAGGCATCAACCATAGGACCTATGCACCCCTCACCCCAACGGACTCCTGTCATATTCCAGGCGGGCACGTCGAAAGCTGGACGAGAATTCGCTGCGAAGCATGCAGAGGCAATCTACGTCGGTGGTCTTGTTCCTGCCCAGACCAAAGGCTCGATTGCTGATATACGAGCTGCGGCTGCGGCACGTGGCAGAAACTCCCAGTCTTTGAAATTCTTTGTTGGAATATCATGTGTACTGGGTCGAACGCTTGAAGAGGCCCAGGAAAAATATGAAAGAGCAAAGGACAACGCTGACATCATTGGAGGACTCGCACAGTTCTCTGGTTATACAGGCATTGACCTTTCTCGTTTTCCATTAGACGACGTCTTCGAGTTGAAGGATGCCCCAGGCGATGCTGCCGTTCACACGTTTTTGGAAAACTTCAACAAGGCGACCGGAAATACAGATCCTTGGACCCCTCGAAAACTTGGCGAGAAGATGGCGCTCGGGGGGTTCCACCCGGTCCCTATCGGAACCGCTGAAATGGTGGCAGACGTCTTCGAACAATGGGTCGACGAAGCGGATGTTGATGGATTCAACATTGCATATATCAATAGCCCAGGAAGTCAGGAAGATATCGTGGAGCTCCTGGTGCCCGAACTCATCAAAAGAGGGTTGATGTGGGAAAAGTACGAAGCTGAAGGCGGCTCGCTACGAGAGAATCTCTACGGCGTGAAGGGGATGAAGGAGTTACCGACGGATCATTACGGTCACAAATTCAAGTATGGCAGCAACTTCGAAGGCGACTCGATCGAGGCACTGAAGAAGGTAAATGGCGTAACAAGTGGGGAAACAAAGCTTCCATGTAGAAAAGCAGAGTAGATGCATCAAGTGTCTTATTGAGCATTCTTGAATGCACAGCTATGATAATGCTACTGAGAAATCTTGCGCAATAGACTAATATTCCGTTAGTTGCTAGTATTGATAAATTGTAGACAAGCCGTTCCCACGGTTTCTGCATCCAGGTCAAGTGAAAAATTCGCACCAGAACACTCCCGAGTAGCAGCATCCGGCCTCACTTTTCTGGCATTCTCGTAATGTTCCCAAAGAACGTCATCTTTAGCGCAGATCAAGAGAATGGGACACTTCACAGATTGAAAATATCCTAGCATATCTTGCTCCCACACGGCACCGTATATGAGATTTCTCCCTCTCCAGGCGCGAATATGATCCACTGCTTCCCGCTGGTAAAGCTCTAAGTCCGTTCCAACACCCATCTTCCGAAGATAGTCCCAGGTCTTCTGCAAGTGACTTCCATCTGCGACGGGCTTGTTGAAAGGTGCGTGGTACTGCTTTTTCATCTCCGCGCGTTCTTCAGCAGTCATGACGGTGGGACCAATAAGGCTGATGCTGGCCACCAAGTCGGGATAGGAGGCAGCAATTTCGGGTGCTAGGCATGCACCCGAATGATGTCCAATGATATGTACCGTACTTGCACCCGGGTCGAAGATACCAAGTGATCGGAAAGCTGCCATAAAAACGTCGACAAACCAGCGGGTTCCCTGCTGTAGTATTTCCTCGATAGCTTCTGGTGTAGGATCGAACGAGCCGCCAAAGCCTGGCATGTCAGGTGCATAGCATTTGTATCCTTTAGCACAAAGTTGGCGCATGATTTTTTCGTAAGATGCTGAAGATGATGCTGATTTATGAAGCAGAATGATGGTTCGGCCAACATCGTTCGTTCCGGATGGGATCGCATATCGGTAATGGATTTGGCCAGACGGTGTATCCACATAACCTTTCTTGATCAAAAAAATGTGTGCCATCGGGGGTTGTATGAACAAGAAGCATAACGCTTATGAGAAAAGCAGCAACATGTGTCGTTGGCGATTTGCGATCTTGAGCCTCAAACGCCTCTCACCTGGGAAATTATATGCGATTGGATTGCCAGAGCGTACGAACGAATCGCGCTTGCGAAGTGCCCCTGGCTGAAATACCGACGGCTGGTCGGCACAAATTGCTAAGGGCAAGTCGGTGCACTGTGGATAACTAAAAACAGTGAGCAAAGTGTGATACCATACCACAGCGCGGCAATTATCTCCGGAACGTGGAAAGGAAACAATCACAGACTGAAATCGAAGAGGCATTTGGGTCACTTCTCATCGATTACTAGATCTCATCACGTTTGAACACTCCCCATCATTTGTAGTTTACCAACATGTAGATATTGTAGGGAAAGGTCAAGATGTGATCCGGGGGCTCTGCTATTACTTTCAGCGTTTCTCGTTGCTCTTTCGCGAGCTACCGGTTCCAACCTCAATGTCTTCCGCGATGACCGGCACTCCACCAATTATATCTCCATGTGAGTCGTCCATCAGCTCTACCACATAAGGTGCCCCTGGTGGAGGCGAAATGAGGGTGAGAAGCCAATAAATAACACTGCCGCCAACAAATCCTACAATCCACGAGAGATCAAACACTCTAGACCAGCTGTACGAGACAGTGGCACCGCCCATTGCTGCCACAAACCCAGCTTTGAAGTTCATGTTAGAGAGACACTCCTTCGGAAATATTATGGAGCCGGTACTCACGCATACAAGGCCAGACAACCATGGCCCAGGCAACAAACGCCCGCCAATTTAGGCCATAATTGTACCAGTAGATTGATTCCTTGTTTCCCTTGTACAGATCTGGGATCTTCCATTTCGTCCTTCGAACGACCCAACTTACTCCAATGTTAGCAACGAATTAGCAGCAGTTCAACGAAGCGAAAACTTACAAATCTACGAAGTTGATGCCGGCCAATGGTGAAATAAACATGCCGAAAGACACGAGCACAGAGATAAAGATTCCAGGTTGGTTGACAAAGCGCCAAGGTTGGATGAGATATCCCACAAGGCACATAATGAGTGACCCTCGCGTGACATCAATATATTTTGGTGCCAGTGATGCCAGATCCATACCGCAGGCGACAGAATTTTGTACAAGGTTGATAGTAAGCTGGCTGAGGAAGAACCCAAATCCAGCAAAAAAAGTTCCTGCTCGAGTGGCGGAGTTGTAATTATCGGTCTGGAGATAGGACAGGAGGGTGATAGGATTCCATAAGGCCGAGCCGTACATATGACTGACGGCACTGGTCGTGGCAATCCCCAAGAGAGCACAGACCGTCGCTGTGACGATACCCGTTACACCTTGATTCCACACTACAGCACCTCTGCTCGTAGTGTAGCGTGTCCAGTCGGCCTGTCGGATGCATGCGCCCGTCCACGATCCGGCAACCGAGCTCATTGCTTTGAGTATGAGGAATGACCGGGTGCTGATTTAAGTCCGTTAGTAACATAGCACTTGGCTAGAACCGGTCGATTTGGACTGGGCTGTGCATTTGGACCATACCTTGAACTAACGGTCTTGGATGGTGGGAGAAAGTCAGCGCCGTGATTAGATGACACGGCCCAGATGAACAGCCCAACCATCGTCACATTGACAGCGGCCTGAGAGATCCAGATGAAAGGCTGAAGCTTTGACGGATGAATAAACATCAATGATGTAAAGATAATGATGTAGATGACAAATCCGATGAGTTGTTGTGTGGTAATTCCGGCGCTTTCAGATAAGGTATTGTCCATGTGTTTGAAGCTGGGGAAGATTGCACCGAGCACAACGCTCATGGCAAGACCGCCCCAATACGATTGTACGCCAAAGCTGTGGAGTTGGCCGTATTAGCACGAAATGTCTTGAGACTGATTCATACTTCCTCTTCTCGTTTCTTTCTCTCCTTGTTGATGAGTAGGGCTAACTCACAAAATGATGTTGACGAAGCACTTGAGCGCAATCACGAAATACGAGCCGTACATACCAAAGGTAGCTCGACTCATCATCGGAAATCCTAGGTGATATCGTATCTATATGCATGGTCAATGACAAGTGAAGATAGTCGGAACGCTTTAGGCATGATTATCGGAAATTGAAGAGATGTTGAGGAGGAAGGTCTGAAAATATGCTTACCCCAGGCTCTCCACAGACAAAAGCAACAAAGAAAGACAGAACAGTTCCCACAAACACGCCGCCCATTATACCGCCCGCGTCCAAGCCAGCAGCTAGATGGGATGATCCTAATGACCATGTTGTTGTATTGAATCCAACAGCACACCTATTGGATAAAGGGATGTTAGAGCGTTCAGGGCGGATGCGGACTTGGTGAATGAGAGGAGACAGACCAATAACCAAAGTAAGCTTTCCACGTGAACTTGAGTTGCTCTGGGGGCACAGGCAACACATCACGATTAGCCCAGCGGCTGTCCTCTCCGTCGTTGATGGTCAACGACTTGAAAGTCCGAGGGAGTCTGAGTTTCACACGACCCATTGTGTTTGAAATAAACGATTTGAGATGATTCAAAGGGGCAGTTTAATCGGATGGGAAGGGTCTGGTGCAGTCAGGCAACCAGCAGTTGTTGCTCACGAACTTCGAGAAGACGGCCGCGGATCAGGTGGGGAGATGAGTTCTCAATATATAACAAGTGTAAGAGTGAAATGCGTGCCTCCTCGCCTGCCTTCCACCAAGGCTGTTTGGGGTCAGAAACACCCACCGAATCACAGAGCTCTTGTGGCCTGCATACACAAATCGTGTGCCAGTATGGGCCGTACTAGATGCTCCAAGAATGCGCCACCGGTCTGAGAAGATAAGGTTTCCAGAACATGTTCAACTTCAGAACTCAGGGGTTTTGATAGGACTGTTGGTGGAGGATGCACTGGTTCAGGAACAACATGCCCAAGAGATATGAAGATAGGTGTGGAGCATTGGCGGATGCTTCCAGTAGTAATTAGCACGTTTGCGGTTTGGACTTTCAACACCAGTGGCATCATAGTCCACACTGCCATCTAAGGCTTATCTTTGGCTCTTTGGCGGATCGGATCCCTGCGGCAAGTGGTTCCGCTACGGTGCTCCTTTTGTCGGCTGGTCGGAAAGGTGCAAAATGCTCAGTCTGGAACATTTCGCCATGGCCCCCCTGCCACGATCATTTCAGAAAAAGATAAGGACTTTCGCTGTAGTCTAGAAGATGACGGGCAATTGATCATGCACAGTCAATTAGATCTCGCTCCCAGAGTCGAAAACTATTACCTAAGAGTGTATTCGAATTAGTGGAAAACCTAGGAAATATTATTTATTCCAAGCTTTTTGACTGATTAAGTTGATGTCAGCCATGAAAGTCGACCCTAATGGATCAGATTTACCCGTAGAAGCCTTCGATAAGGAGGCTCTCGTGAACCGCAATCCGCACCCAGATTTTGCTGCCGTGCAGGCGAGGAGACCAAACTACGATGCCGGGGATCAGTGGATGCTATCAAAAACTCCTAATCCCGACTGGAAGTATGGAGATGGTGCAAACAGTTCTCATTGGAAAGGACAAGAATTCCTGACCATCGATCCCTTCGAGGAGGGACGGCCAGGAGTGCTCAATTACAAGCTGATGATCTCTACCACCGTCCCGAGGCCAATCGCCCTGGTCAGTACCACCACAGCAGACAGAAAGACAAAGAACTTGGCTCCATTTTCGTACTTTCAGTGCGTAATAGACGACGTGAGTGCACAGGGCAGTGATTTCCAATTTGATCCGGGGTGAGAAGTATTCTAACTCGATTTCGGTCCAAGCCTCCCTTATATTCCCTTGCATTTGCTGGTGAAACACGAGTCGATACACTGCAGAATATACTGGACACTGGAGAGTTATGTATAAGCATGATTACGGATTGGATGACCGAGTAAGTCTGATATATAGTACCCCGGGTCGCAGCAATCTGCTATGCTGTTTTGGTACCAAGCCGTGTAGTCAAAACTGAGAAACGACTATTTACGACAGAGCGGCAAACTTCACATCAATAAACACACCTCGACATATTTCTGAGTGGGAACTCGCCGGTCTGACCCCAATAAAGTCTGATATCATTGAACCCCCTTACCTGGCCGAGTCTCCCTTTTCGGCTGAGTGCAGGCTACATTCATACCAAGAAATCATAAGCAAGAAGACTGGAAAAC